TTGCGCGGATTCGCTGGTCACGATCTCAGGACATAGGGTCTCCACAAGCCGGCGGCACAAAGGGTTGTTGTTCGTCATAGCCGTTAGAGGATCGACAGCCAGAACGTTTGCTTGAGCCAGAGTGCGCCGGATTCGCTTCCGTGCAGCGGTTTGGGTGTTGAGTACTAGTACGACAGGCTGTTCACCTTCACTCATTCTCTCAACATCTTCCTGGTCAGATGACACATCTTCGTAGGCGGGGCGGGATTCATTTTGTCGCAAGTCAACCATGTCGCAAATAATTTTATTGGTGGCTGAATTAAAAAAAAACAGAAATTTACATTCGACCCCTGTAGTTTTATAAATCTATAAATAGCATTTAAGCTATTTAGGCTATTAACTTGCTAGTAGCTTGGTAGCTTGACCATATTTCAGGCTAAGCTAAGATAAGCTAACAAACAAAAAGCTAAGCTAACAGTGAATAGTTAAGCTTTTTCCAGCTTAGCTGTCAAATAGCTTAGCTTTTTGTTAGCTTGAAAAGCTAGCTGCCATCTATGTGCAGCGGGGCTGTCGTAGCAAAACGCTTGAGGAAGCGTACTTTAGGTCACCGACCTTTCGTTCTCTACAAGAACCAAGTATGCCGCTTACTCCAAGAGTGATTTTTGCCTTCCCAAGGCTAATCGACTCTTTGGTTTAAATTCCAAACTGATTTTTATTTATATTCTTATCCTTATATCATAAGTTTAGAATTTTCTAAATATACTAAAAATATATAGTAAAGTCTAAATTTATGCATAAGTACTGGCTACCTAGCCCGTACCGTATTCTTGTTTGGGGGTGTTTGGTCCCATCATGCACATCTCGTGTGACACACACACCCTGTGTTATTAGGGTTCGTGTAACTCCGTTACAAAGCAGCTCCTTACCACAAGCTAGATTTGGTGTAGATGAGGGCCTTGTCACCACCGTAATCTGTACTGTGCTTGTGCAAGCAATTGACTAAGCAAAGGCACTTCATAACATCCCGTATGGATAGTAATCACGATGTCTTTGGTCTACGCGGGATCTACCCGCGAATCGTGCCTCAAGATAATACATCCTAGAAATAGGTATCACCGGCACCGAAATCACACTTACTTGTGTAAATAAAAAGCTTTTCGTGCCATCTCTGTTCGCAAGTTTTGATTTTGATGTTCACATCCACCTATTCGCGCTTAACTCGACTATGGACGAAAATACTCGGAATAGGTCTATGCGTATGCACGTTGCGGTCTAAATAGTATTTCTTAGACATTTGACAATCTCAGGTGCTTTAGACAGTCTTTGAGGTATAACTAGGGACTCATTGAACATTCGACGCAGTGGACTTACCGCAGATAGAAAAATATCACTGCAACTCACGAGCAGTTGACATTATCCTTTGACTGATAAGGACCATGCTGTTCTGCTGAACATCGGCGGTTGCGCCGTGTATTAGTGCGTGCTCTCAGAGTTTATGCTTCCTCTGTGCGGAGTGTATGGCAACCTCGTTGTATTAGGATATACGGAAGAGAAGCGTTCACATGTCACAATTGCCACCGATTGGATTGACGGTGTACATCTATGAAATTGACGTTAAATTGCAGCATCATTTAATGATATTCTTTTCGAGGAACAGAGTACCATTGGCTTATCTTGCAACTCGTGCTTCTCAAAAATAAAAGCTCATGGTCATGCACATCAGTGGAGAATTTTTGCCTAAAATGGATTTTTCAAGCAAAAATGCCTTCGTTTCTCGGAACATAAATACTCAATCTGAAAATGTTACCCTGTGCCACCGGGCGCATCACAGTCGCAGATGCATCTCGCCGTGTGCTCACGGCCGTAATAGCCCGGAATTACGAATTTGAAACCTGTCTGTTTTGCAACTTTCTTAGCCGCACTACACAGCGAGCGATGGCGTTTGATCGATGCAAAAAAATTTTTGCCCGACTCCGCTAAAATACGTCGAGACTACTACAGTAAAATATGGTAGCCTATGGACAATACCTACACTCATCATTCTTTACTAGAGCTTAAAACGATGCAACGCCGAAGCCGACAATTATGTGTAGTAAATATATCAGATGCTGTCTTAAAAAGCTTTTACAGGTCAATGGAGCAGTGAAGGGGCCTTTTCAGCGCCTGAATGCTTCGACGTCACCGCAATCAATAAGGTTGGTGTTATCTATTACTGGTTTTCATTTTTCTCTCTACACAATTTTGCTAGGCAAAGTCCATGCTTCAAACACGAAAGTACCTTAACTCACTTTGTTTTCTGGTGTACTGCCAAATACACTCTACAGTCCGCTGAGTGTGGTCTTCGTGCGATACGTTGCTGAATATGATATATACAACTAAGACACCCTCTTTCGGCAAGCAGAAAGTCTTGCTCACCTGTCGCGTTCTACCTCCCTTACTGGAATTAATTACCTAAATCGCTTCATGGAGATGTGGATAAGCGACTTGAGTCCACGGAGCCAGTCCTTGTGTTGGGCCCAATCCGACGCTGTAAGGGCCACGTATATCGTCTGTGCCGTACCAAAATTGCGCTGTTCAAAGCATTTTACCATTTCATGCAGTCGGGAAACAACATCGGGCGCCAGCGCACCAACATTAAGCTTGGTGAACATAATTTCCTTGCCTTTTTGGATCTCCTGCAGCTGTTTCTGCTCCATCTGCACAATTTCGTAATTTTAGTTAAACAGGCCTCGCACCAAAATTCACGTTATACCGTACCATAGTAAGAGGAAGACTTAAAAGCTGACTCACGAGGTCGTTAAACGAGTTTACGATTGGTAGGTCTTGAGGCCCAACATTTTCAGTGCTGCCCGGCACAACGTTCGGGGGTAGGTCATTAGCCTTCGGGCCTGCATTTGCCAAGGGCGAAAGAGAGGCTGTGGTAGCATTCCCATATTTAAGTGTTAACTCCTTATTGCCAACACTGCTGACGAATCCGTCGCGTTGGTGCGAGCTCATATCAACTGAGGGCTTCGAAATACGTGAAGATCCCATCGCAGCGGTGAGTGGGTTGATTCCCGTACCTTGAGGGATAGAGGCAGAAGCTGGAGTGGGAGCGCCATTATTACTTCCGGAATGGGTACTACCATAAGCCGGTGACGCCATGCAAGACATGTGAGGTGTTCCACCTGCCGAGGGTGGACCCGAGTACATCTGTTGGCGGCCTCCTGACGAGGAGCGAGGGCCAGAAGGAAACCCTGGCTGAGGAGTTTGTTGAACGGGGAAGCCTGGCTGCTGTTGACGGCCGTACCCAGGCTGCTGCGGAGACGCTAGATTCTGTTGTGCCTGCCCTCGGTAAGAAGAAGCAGTAGATTGACCCGGGAATGGCGATGTTGCAGAATTCCCAGCATATGGAGACGGTTGTGGTTGGCTGGGAAACGATGGCTGTGACTGGTTCGAGTACCCTCCTGTTGGCTGCTGGTGAGAGAATCCTCCAGGGGGCTGCTGCTTCAGATGACCTCTTGATGGCTGTTGGTTGGGGTACCCTCCAAGTGGCTGTTGGGTTGGATAACCTACGGGCTGCTGCTGATTCGGGTAACCTCCGGGCTGTTGCTGGCTCGGGTAACCTCCGGGCTGTTGCGGTTGCGGGGGTAGGCCAGGTGTGGCGGCGAACGCAGGCTGTTGGGGCAAAGACTGATAGCCGCCAGGGCGGACCGGAAGAGCAGGCGGTAGTGCTGAAGCATGCTGTTGCGGCTGGAATCCTCCTCCTTGGCCCCCGTATACGCCAGGCGTTGGTATAGGAGCAGCAGGAGCTAGCGTTGGCGCTGTTGTAGTGCCAAAAGTAGCTCCTGGTCCGTAGGCGTGATTGTTGCCGTAACCTCTGGGTTGCTGAGCAGCCTGGCGCTGTTGTTGTCGTTGCTGTTGTAGCTGTTGTTGTTGCTGCTGTTGTTGTTGTTGCTGCTGTTGTTGTTGTTGCTGCTGCTGAAGCTGCGCCTGGGTTTGAACCTGTACCACGTCGAACGGAAAAGGAGGTGGATGATAGTTCTGCGTCGGATAAGCGTGGTAAATTCGATCTTTCAATATCGCACAACTCAGATCCGGGAAGCGTGCGTACTTCGCAGCAATGTCCAGACGACCTTCCGCCGCCATCTATCATGATACAAACAACAAACAAGGAAATGAGCTTTGCTACCAATTCAAATCGAAAGTAAGCAGGCGACGTACCAAAGAAGCATATTCAGCAAAACGCTGGGCCACCTCAGGGCCCATGGATTGGTCAGGCTGGTCGACAGCTGCTGCAAACACAGATACTTTTTCAACAAGACGGTGGAGTGCGAATGTGTGACCATGGGTATGTGCCTCGTATTCGCTTTCCTTACACCATGCATTCACAGTCTTTTCGATATTCACAGCGCACATAAAGCACAATGTTGCAGAATGCAAGTCGCCAGCCGCCTCCAATCGGGTGGCCAGCTTGTCACAAAGTGACGGAAATTTTTCGCTCTTAGCATATGTGCTTAAGATTGCCAGGGTCTCGCGCCATTCAGACAAGTCACACACATCAACGAGCTCACTCAGCTCATTTTTAATGATCGCTGACACCACGCGCATCACAGGGCGTTGCTGGTGGGAAAAGAACGCGCGCTGGGTTGTCTCCCAAAGCTCAGGGCCACCACAGGAAGCAAGCAACAAAGCGTCTGCAAGCTGATTGTACGCCAAGCAGCAGTTGACAGCAACTTCAAAGTTTCCTACCAATAGCGCTTGCATCAAAGTATTTTCGGATTCTTCAGTGTAAACAGGTGCTGGGGCTGCATCCACACGCTGGCTTTTGTCCTCGTCCAAAGGAGAAGGAAGCGCCGCGACTAGAGATGAGACGTCTGTTAGCGTGGGTGCGGGGGTAAGAGACTCATCACCTTCGTTCGGTTGATATCCCGATGAAAAAACATCGTCCGCTCCCATACCCGACTACATATTATAATAGAAGTGAGCCACACACTTATAATCAAAAATTTGCAGCAATACTACGTACATCAATTCGGTCACTTAGCAGCGCACCGGTAACAGGATCAACTTGAGCTCCTGGTATCTGCGCTGCAGCTGGGGTCGTAGCTTGCTGTGCCGCAGCCTCCGGACTGAACTTGGCGTTCCATTTGTTAATTTTCTCAGCATCCAACCCCAAGTGAAGCAGCAAATGTTGCCGAGCATCTTTTTCAAACAAAATTTTCATAAAACTCCAAACACTTCGCTCCTCAGCCGTTGTTGCCGATGCAATCTTCTGCTCACAGTAACCTTTAAAATCTTTAGACTCTAACGAGCGATCCAAATTTTCCGCTTCGGCCACCAAAGCTGGGTCACTAATCACGCGTTGCATGTGAATAAGACGAGAGTGGTCACCGTTGAGGGCTAAGGTTTCTTGAGAGTTAGTAGCGATCACCAATTTACCACCAAATCCGAATGATGCGCCAGCTGGACGTCGCATCCATTTTGGTGGACGGCAATCCGGGTTGCCACCTCCAGAAAGTCCCCAAATCTGAAGTTTTCCGTCAAGTGAGCACGTTGAGGCTACTGCAGGAACCTGAGGAGACCACTGCACATTCCAACGACGCTGACCGGCAAGACCACCCCCAAAGAAATGATCTGATCCCATTGTAGGCGCGTTGGGTGATTCTGAGGGAAATTCGATTATAGTCTTGCGTGAGAAAAGATCCCATAAAAGCGTGCGATTGTCCTTCCCGCTTGACAGAATTAGACCAGGATCATCGGGACACCATGACATTGAAAGAACACCCGCAGTGTGATCGTGGAACTCGGCCAGAGGCGTGCTGGTTGAATTACGCAGGTCCCACAGCTTCACTGACGGATGTTGATCATCACCCGAGGCTGTAGCGATCTGAAGTCCTTCGTTAGGATTCCAAGAAAGAGCTGTAGCAGCCCCGCGCGCGGGATCCCGCAACTCGCACCACGGCTTTTTCTGTTTGAGGTCCCA